ACGATGCTTTATCTCTCGGCGGCAATTGTGGGGAAAGCCTTTAAGCCGCCTGGCCGCTGGGTCACCATAACCTCCAATTTTATCCACGTTTTGCAGGTTTTTGTGTTTGTGCCGGAGCAAAGTTTTCTCAGCCGATTACAAATCTTGTAATCCCTTTTTGCTTGTTCCTCTCCTTGTTTGGCTGGTCCAAAAATATCCAATAAATGCTCCATCACCAAGCAAACCTAAGGACTCCCCTTTGCCGGCTCTAAGTCGGGGGTTGTGTGTCCTGTTGAGGGCAAAGCTTCTGCACCGACCGTCAAAGGAAAGAAATGTGTATATATATATATATATATATATATATATATATATATATATAGTGGGCAATGAAAATTGGAAATACATTATGCAAATAAAGTAAAAAAAAACAACACATCAGGCTTTTAGAGCAGAAATAAATAATTTAGGTTCACTTTATGCGTGATGTAAAAAAAGAAAAATCTCACCAGTTCTCACCCTTTTTGGTTTTGGATGTTCTCACACCTGACGGTAATGCAGACTCGGTTTGATTGGGGGACAAAGTTAGAACATTTTGTTACATTTTCAGTCGGAATGGTTCGTTGGCACCCTGCTGAACCAAACGCTTTGTAAAACCTGTTCACCGTCTGGCCTGTGGTGGCGCTGCACCGAGAACCGCTGAAGGAAACAACATGAAAAGGTACGAAGAAGACATGAGGTCAACTTCTTTCTCCACAGAATGTAAACAAAAAGGGGAGTAGCGTCACATTTTACCAGTTGTAGGATTTGTCTTTTCCCTCTAGCGCTAGAGTCTTGTGTTCATTTTGGTTGGATTTACCCAGAATGCCCTGTGCAGGAGAGCAGGAAGTGGACCATAGTCCACTTCCTGCTCTCCTGTCTGGTTATGCGTTTGAACCGTGCCAGAGTTCACTTCAACCAAACCGAGACCTGGATTTGTTGGCGGCTCTGAGTTTGCATCGCAGTTCGATTCTGCATTCTCGCTTCCACTAGAAACCAAACTTTCTAGGCACATTAACTAGAGTTTCATTGAACAGGGCTGGTGTGAATGCATCCTTACTTTCAGATTAGTCAGAATTTATGACTGGTAAAATGCTGAGAGGTCCTTTAATAAGTGTTATGCATCGTTCAGTGACCCTGCTGGTCATTCATTTTGAACTTTATAGGTTTAAGAGGCTGCTGCGATCGAGTGGTTGACCACGGAAGACCCTCGTTTAACTAATTCACAAATGTCTGCCCTGCCTCAAACTTACACGAAATAACTCATCCTATGCTTCCATGTAAATGTTTGTGTGGGCGTCGGGTCAGGATTAAAGGTGAGGGCTATGATATACAGACGAGCAAACAGCAGGGCCTTAAGGTTGCCCATTCCTGCTGGAGGCAGATAAGCCAAGAAAAGGGGAATAACCAACTGCTGCACGTCACTGTGCAAACCATCAACTTGCCCGAACGGACACCTAGGAACACAGAGGATGACGTCGGCTCGGCACGTGAGACATTGATTTGCCGCTCGGTCGGATAGCGTCTCTTTAAGTTGCTGTCAGCACATATTTGAAAAGACAACAGTGATTAGCATCACCCTTTGGCCCTCGTCGGTCCTGGGAGACGGCAAACGCGAGCAGGCTGTTTTAGCTCAGGTGCCTGGCTGGATGCTTGTTTGCTGTTACGCTGCTAAGATGCTTAGACAGAAAGTGGCAGTGGTAAATATGAGGTCCCAAAATCTTTTAGGCTAATGATATTTTTGATGGATGCTTCACAAATACAAATAGGAAGAGAAATGAGTAAGGGATGCATTTTTCAGCCTGTCAGGACTGGTAGTGCTCAGCATAATAACCACCCATTTCATTATGACTACGATATTCTTGAGCATTATTTTGGATTTCTTTGGTTAGATTTTTGCTCTGCGGGGCCCCAATCAGAGTTTGTTACTCCTGTTGGTCCGGACCTTTTGTGTAGGTGTGAATGCACTCAAGGGAACGCTGTCATTTCTGTCCAGTGGTAGGAATAATCGTCACCTGCATGTCTTTCTTTACAAGTTATAATCCGCTTGTAAGAAAAACACAACGTGAAAGCAAACCGCACCAAACGGAATAAAAAAAAGTTGAGTCTTGACCTAACAAGCAAACAAGCGGACCAAAGCATTTCCACACGCTTAGAGTTTAACTGCTCCTAATGTTTGGACAAAACTTACAACAGATATTTATCTTGTATTTTTTTTTCTTCTTGGAAGTATTATATGGTAAAAGGACTGAACTTATATAGCGCTTTATCCAGTCATTTTGACCGCTCAAAGCGCTTTACACTAGAGTCACATTCACCCATTCGCACTCACAAATGCTCCCACATGTATACACTGATACGCAGATCGGTAGGCGATATATGACTTTCTGAAATAACAGACTGTCCATTATGAGACGTTTCATGATTTGCTCCACTCATATGTTCAGACTACTAATATACCTGGAAAATCACTAAAATTACTGTATTTTTTTTATCACTTAAAGTAGCTGTATGTAACTTTTATAATTTTACATATTTAAGTGTCACCATGTTGTGATGTTATAAGACAATCTGCTCCTCCGCCTTCTCCCTGTGGCTCTGCTGTCATCGGCACACTTGCTCTGCTCTGTCAGAAACAACCAATCAGAGCCAGGAGGCGGGTTTCAGTGCTATCAATCACCCTCTTGTACGCTGCTCACGCCTTCCCCCTTTCACGCTACAGCTGGTTTACCACCACCACCGCCATGAATGCCAAGGCTAGTTAGCATAGCCACTGATGACGATGGATAAACAGTTTTCCTGAAATGATGAGTTGTTTCTCCGCCATTAGCACATTGAGCAACCTGTACATGAGGTTGATTGACAGCACTAAGACCCTCCTCCGGGGACTGTTTGGTTGTTTTTGACCGGGAAGCAGTGCAGTTCTTCTGATGGCAATAGTTGCTCAGGAAGGAGGCGAAGGAGCTCGATCTGTACAGATTATCTGTCTTATACCGTCACAGTATGGTGACAAGTTTAACACGTGTAAACAAAAACAACATATTTTTGTAAAAGTTACATACTGTACCTTTAAGGGATGAGCTGCTTTGGACTTCAGTCAAGGCATGACCTCAAGCAACACAGGATTATGTTGTATAGATGGGCCACTAAACCTGATATCTGATCAAAGAATGATATCAGGATTGATTCAAATAGCAGTACTGGATTGGATTAACCCCCTCCCTCCATCTTTAAAAGCAACCTTGAATTGAATGTCTTTTTTTCTTCTTCTTCTTCTTTTTGCTTCCGTCATCTCTGGGCTTTTAATTTAACAGCGGGTCTCCAAGTTCACAGAGAGAGGAGAAAAATATGAACACGCTGAACTTTAATCTAAATGATTTATTTAAAAGGGGATCCTGCCTTCGTTTTTATCACTTGTACGCTTTCGGCCCCGGACTTCCTGCCGTTTAATACCGTCTCTGAAAGTTACATACACAAAATGACATGTAACATGACCCCAATTAGACGACAGCAGGAACATCTGGCAAAGAGCCATATCTGCTTTGAAACGGCAAGCTGGGAGTTTTTGCAGCGCCGCAGAGAACTTCTGACTCCTAACCTACTATCTGAAGTGACAGGGCTTTCATAAGTACGTCCAGACCCAAGAACCCGGTAGCGTGGGAAGGATTATGTTTTCAGGCATTTGATAAGCGGAATGCCATTTTCCTTCTGACTCATGAACGTCTCTCTTGTCCTCCAGAGAGTCTTTCATCTCGGCAGCCAGGACCTGCAGTCTGTGGCGAGCTGATAGAATACAGGTACAGAAGATGAGCCACATCATTTCTCTTTATCTCGCCTGCCTTCTTACCAAGCCGAGCCGCGCTCCTATATCCCTCAAACTCCCTACAACATCACATACACGCTGAGCCAGTTCCATCAAGGAAGCCACCCAAGATATAGTACATTCCCCAGCACAATGCCTTTCATCCCGTTTTGTAGTCTTTCTCTCTCTGCGGGTAGGGAGTGAGGCTGCTGGGGGCCGAAGGGGGAAGAAAAGGTTGGTTTTAAAAGATGGAAAGCTGGCTGTCAGCGGAAATGTTATTGTCAGCGCTTCAATGTGAGTTTTATTACCGGTCGTACGCTGATCTACGCCGCTCTCCTCTGAGTTTGCTGATATGCGCTTTGGTCTAATGGTCATTCACTGGGTCTTGCCATGTTCTCACGGGCTGTTGAACTGCAGCAGATATCCATATTTATTGGCCCCTCTGGTAAAGATGTGTAAAAGGTCTTAAAACAAATTCATCTTTTATTGCAGTGGCATTATCTCACGCTGACAAAAAAGTCAACCTTTGGATCTAAGTCCATTTATTCTTTGGGTAAAATGATGCCATTTAAAGAAATAATTATTTTTTTTTACAATTTCACCTGTGGCACAGTTACGTTCACCTAGAAAAATTAAATTCAATATTTGCCACTGAGGCACTTTAAACTTTAACTACACATTTCAAATTCAACAAACGTATGCGAAGTACTGTATGATTTTCTATTTCACTGGGTTTAAAGAGGCAGTATTATGTATTTTCCAGGGACATGGTGCCATTTTATAGCACAATCAAGTAACTTTGTTAACTTCAGTTGCTGAAAATGCTACGTATCTCAAATATGACTTAAAAGAAATGTTACTTTGTAATTTAACACCTTGAAATTAGGCCTCTATCACTTTAAAAACTCCCATCCTTTGTAAAACTCCGCCTTCAGGAAGTCATCACAACAACGCTCCTCTGCTAACCCTTTAGCAATGTTGTTAACTGTGTTGCACTGAGAAGGAGCTTGCATTATGAGAACCTGTCACAGTTCCACCAGGTGTTTGCTAATTGCTGCTGGCTAGTCTGTAGGAGTTGAGTGGGGAAGACGCAGGGAAGAAGTGCTCCATGAGTCAGAAAATCTGAATCTTGGAAACTCCAGCTCTGAGGAGGCTCTAGGTCCACCCAGCCTTTTTGAACAACTAAATGGTTGCCATGGGAGATTAGAGGATTTCTCAAATATACACGATAGAATCAAGGCAACATGTCAGGTATGTTTTTGATGAGGGAATAGAATAACATGATGTAAAGCTCAGAAAAGTCATTTTTACACAATACCGCCTCTTTTAATATAAAGTGACACAGATGTCCATTTTTATAACCTGCTGTAGGCTGGACAATGACATATCGCTATCTCACCACCAAATACAATGAGCTGCATGGCAGTCGAGGTTAAAAGAAAGGAAAAAAATCACCAAAGGTCACAGCAGCAAAGAGTGGGATGTTGAGTTCAGTGGGTCTCCATGGGAACAATTAGATGCGAACTGATGCGAACTGGTTGTACATAAGTGATGCCAGAAAAACAGCCTTTTCATGTCCTACCACCCAACATAAACATGTGAAGTAGGAACATGTATAGATTAGGCTTTTTGGGGCAGGGAACACTCCAGCTGAGTTTATTTATTTTAAATTTTTTTAATTCACGCAAACACACGATTAAACCAAAGAAACTGAGGGGGTATTTTTAATAAAATGGTTTGTATATTTCAAAAATAATCCCAAAATGCCAACATTAAGTTGAAGCTTTGTAATTTGTGTTACTGAGAACGCTGTAGCTCTGTAGATTGCTCCTCTGCTACCAATTGTGTAATACAGTCAGATCTCATCTGCAGTGTAAATCCTCTGGTTAAAATAAGAACCGCAATGAATGTCATGAGCTTGTAGCAGAGTTACAAAAAACCAGAGACACGTCCTTGACCTCCGAATCCTCTTGAGAGCGCCCTCCGCCGTACAGTTTGCTCCATCATGAATTCCTCAAAGCACAGCGGCCTATTATAGGAAACTGGAAACTAGCAATCGCTTGGTCCTCAGCAGGAGAATGTCCCAAACCTAAGGTCAGCTCAGCTAAGAAATTGATTATCATTAAATCAACCTTGTTTCAATACTTCTGACATTCTGCAGACCTAAATCATTCGGAGAACCTGGACCCAGGAACGGAAAGGAAAAAGAAGAATGGTCAAAAATCCCCTTCTCTCTCTGTCAGTGTGTGTGTGTGTGTGTGTGTGTGTGTGTGTGTGTGTGTTCTCCAACCTTGTGAAAAGTTATTGAGAAAGACTAAGTGGTGTCAAAAAGGGGTTGTCAATAATTCTGCCACTAGTGATTTTTGTTAAAAGCTGTTATTTCTTAAGGCGACTGTCTTCCTCGCTAACCCCAAGTTGTTTCCTTGTATTTATCTTCCTAGCGATGAGCTGTGAGAACCAACCCCGCATAGTTTTCAGCGCACCGCACACCCTGAGTCTGGCTTCTCAGCCGATCTATAATTCCTGACAAAACAGAGGCGAGCTAATTATGCCCCCACTTCTGACCTTCCAACTGGGCTGACCTCGATATGATCAGACCTCAGATCGCATCTTCAAGAGCGGGCCGGGTGCAGTCATGGAGTGATTAGAAGGAAAACGGGGAGGAATATGCCTGTGAGGGAGTTAGCCAGCAGAAGTCCTTGGCAAGGGATTAATGGATAAGAAACAAGACTCTGCTGGATGAAGAACTAGACATTTTGCTGCTGTATTTCGAGTGTTGTCAGAGCGGCAGCTTCATAGGAAAATATTTAAGTGGCGTTTTGTAGAAAGTCTGTCCCAATTAGGGTTTAACCCACCTCAAACATAGCGATGTTTTACATAAATTGTCGGAGACGGCTGTGAAGATGTTTTGAAGGCACGGACTCACCCTTCACCGCCGGCTAATGACCTTGTAATTCTGTGAATACGATTTGCATTTATTATTGGAAACCTTTAGTAATCAACCACCCTCTCTCATAATCAATGTTTATTAGCACTTTGCATCTCTGCAAACTTTTAACAGATTTTTCGGCCTTGATTAAGACTCCGTCGGCCCTGCGTTGCGATGCAGAAATGAGCCATTTTCCCACCAGGAAACCTCCGTATCACCTTCTAGCTGCGAGCGTAACCCAGCTCATTACACAGGTTTTTCCTCCCCTCCTCTAAGACTTGCAGGATTTGCATGCATTTGAATGCAAATCAGGTCTTCAGCTTTGAAGTGCCGGTTTTGCCGCTCAAGTCGCCTACTTGGGATGTCATTGTGCTTGTTTGTGTTGGCATGACAAAGCACTTTTAAATGGATTGTTAGATACATGAGCATCATCTCAATTACTAGGGAAAAAAGGGAACAGTTTAAGTAGAGTTATCCTGCAAAATGTGCCTTAATTGAATTGTCTTCATTTCAAAATAACCTGAAGACTTTTGAGCCTTTAGGGTTGATTAGTAAAAAAAAAAAAAAAAATGCAAATGGTTTGACTTTTACATAATGTTGTCATACTGAGCTTTGTTCTGCTAGGAAGGATTGGACACATTGTCAAGATTTTTACTCGCAACAAAAAATGTAGTTGGTTCCAATGATTTACTAGTCGGTGACAGACTGATGCATCACAGGCGCACAAAACAGCATCGTTACTGATCCTTCCTCCCTTTAGTCATTGGGCTTTTCAACCATCGTTGCAATTTGTGTTTACATCCTTGTTGTTTTTGTCATTTTAAATAACTTCCCAGTGATGTTTGCACCGTTTTTTGTAGCCTGTTGCTGTTTTCTGTGCACAAACAGGGTTTCCCAGAGTATTATGAACCTGGCAGGCCACCAGGCTTTACTTGCCCCCCCACCAGGCTTAGCATTGTTTGTTTATGTTTCTGATGGATTCATGTGAAGAATTATGCCACACGCCTTTTGAGAAGTACGAAAAGCAGGTGGATATTTAACCAAGTACAGGCAGAGATGTATGCGTAAGTATTTGGGCCTGCATGTATAAGTTTTGCTGAAAATCCACAGTTTGTGGTTTTATCATAAAGGTAGAATATTATTATAGCAGTTCAAATTCTTAAAATCCCGAAACTATTCGCCGGGAATTTTTTCCTCAATGTAGTGTACCAAGTGCTGTACATATATACAAAAATTTAAAAATGAATGAATTAAGATACGTACACCTCTTTGGATGACCCACTGTGCGTGGGCAGTGTTTTATATATATATATATATATATATATATATATATATATATATATATATATATATATATATATATATATATATATAAGATTTTTTATTTATTTTGACACAAGATTTGCTTTTCTTCCACTTAACTCATGCAGGGGGTGGAACTCAAACAAATCTGATTATATTTATTGCAAGAAAAATGCATTTATCAAGGGCAAATCAATTTGACCAACCGAGCTAAAACGAATCAGACCCGCCCCTGGTACTAACTGAATCAGCCATAACAGATCATGTTCAAGCAGCCCAGCTCCATTGAATTAGGGCAACGTAAAATGCTTCGTCATGTAAGAAAACCGTGGAGCCGGGTAGATTTTTCATTCAACAAGTTCAGTTTTTCTGAGCGTCTGGCTCTCAGAGCCAAGCCCCCACCAGTGTTCGGCATCCATCACGACGTAGTTTTGTTTACTCAGCTTTTGGCTGAAGGTAATCTCTGCCTGCACCCCGGCTGCCATTTTGTTCAGCCTCCCCCAGTTATTTACCCCCCGCCCCCCACTCCATCCCTCCACTCCCCTTCTTGATTCAGTGGCTCAGATTGACATATCGCTCCTCACTCTGATGATGGATTACAGCCGGGTAGTTTGACCTTGTTCTGCCACTTGGCCTCACATGTTCTCCTGCACTCATATTCTCACTGTAGGAGATGAGAAACACGGCCTACTCAAAGTGATTTACGTTTGCCTCGACTCAACACACAGATCCGTCTAAGCTGCTGCTAAATGCATCTCCAGAGGGCCACTCCGTGTTGCGCAGCGCAGCCATTTTTTTTTCGTTCTTTTTTTTTAGGTTTTTGCTATTCTACTGCCTTAATTAAAAGACTGCTCTGTGAAGACGCCTTTGTTCTGCAAACTCTAATATCAAAAAGGTCCCTCGCCGGAGAGGGGCCCCGCACTCTGCTTTGTCCTCAGGATTAATTCTGCTACGAATCTATATTTGATCAGGGCGCCCGTGTGCGCATGTTTTCCTCCACATTTTCTTATTCCTTTTTTGCCATTTTTTTTGAATGCGTAAGCACTGACACAGTTATGCATTCAGAAATAAACCAAGGATATCTGGTGTGTGTATACATCCGATTGCAGGCGGCGCTCCATCCAGAGGGTGATTATCTTAAACGGAGAAATTAAAGGATTACAAAGCAGCCCGGTAATCCAGCTGTCAATCTCAAGGCTCATTAGTACAACTGAGGCGAGAGATGAGAGACGGGCCGAGACATTCAGCACACAGGAAGTGAGAGGTGACGGCGTACATTGCATGGCCGTTGACGTTTGGCGATGTAAACAGACATGTCGCGCCGCATTGTGTAATAACGTAATCGGGCTTTAAAATGTGACAAAAGATCATTAAATTTGCATTACGTAACGATCGACGCAAAATGTGATAAAATCCTTGAACGCATTTTGAATCGTTTTGCCGTGGACGACACGAAAAGGCAACAAAGTGACAGAGAGTTTGACTTTTACTGGTCAAAGTTTCAATTTCAATGCCTGTAGAACGCAACATATTATAAGTGTAATGACTACAATGAACTGAAACAGTTTGATTCATTTCACAATGCGCATGTAATTATGTTATTTCCAAAAAAGACCCACCTCCACATTTTGTAATAATTGAGACAAAATGTAATTATTATGTGGCGTTCAAGGTCTTCGTTTCGTAATGCAGTTTTAATGATGTTTTATTACATTATCACTTATTGTGGGATTATTACACAATATGGTGTTATAAGGCAGATGGGGAACTTTCTGTTTCCTTTTATTCTTTAGCAGCTTTGGGACGCAGAACCTATTTTTTCCAATCAGGCACAGAGTGGAGGGCGACTCGAACCCAAAACGTGCCACTCGTGTGAAGATTGTGAGCGCTCTGGAAGTCGGACCCTTCTGACGAATCCCCGTTTAAATTAAGCCATTTGCACCTTTTATTTTCACCTGACTCCACTCGCAGGCGAGAAAAGGTGGTGTCACACCGCCCGGGTTCGTCAGCCGTTCACAACGCAGCGTTCTGTAATTGCGATTCATTCCAAGTGGATGCTTTGTGCGAAACACTTTGATGCCACGCGCGTCGTTCTTCTTAGCATGATATTAATTACACGTCGTTGGGCGTGAGGCAGTTACTGAATCAAGGCGCATTGAGGTTTGAAGAAGTTTTGAGGTTCGCTCAAATTTTCCATCTTATGGGTTTCTTTTAATGAGAGTTCTCCCCACCTGTTTCTGCTGGCTCAGAGAGCGGGCTCCTCCACCTTCCCCTCACTTTCAAAAGAAAAAAAAACAAAAAAAACATGGCTGTTTTGAAATATTTGCGGAGAGTCGCAGTGTTTAAACGAAAGAGGCACCATCATTCACTCTGTTAAATTATCTCCGGTTCTAAATGATAGCTGGGAAGCTGCTGTAATCGTTCAGGTGGCTACCTGAGCAGACAGAACCGCTAACAAGAAGGGATGCAACAATCAATCTGCCAGAAATGGGAATTTTCCCTTAATTGTTTTTGATAGCAGCTAAAATAAAGCAAAATTAATTTTAAACATGCACATTTTTGAGTTTTAGAAAAAGAATGCTGCATTGTTGACTTTCTAATATAACCAAAAGCGCAAAAGCCATGGCTGGAGATTATGCTAATAGTCTTTCTTTTAAGCTTTTGTCTATTTTTCAACAGCCTGGTAAAAACCAGCCGCTTGTTCTACGTCTTGCTTCGTACAGAGAGTTAACTGAGAAACAATTGCTTGCTAGAATCGCAGACTTCGATGTTTTAAATTTTACCCTATTGCTAATGTTTAGTCGTGATGCACACAATGCGTCATGAGACGCTATGAAGCTTACAGGAAATTGCCCATCCCCCATCGAAGTGCCGATCCGAACAAAACGGTTGTTTCATGTTAATTCATTATTTTGTCCAACACGGACCAAACAACTTCGTTCACT